CCAGCACCACCCCTGCCCCCACGGGCAGCCTCTCCCAGCCAGCCGCCCCCGACAAGCCCCACGCTGGCCCTGTGGGCCCCGGGGCCGCTCTGCCACGGACAGAGGCCGTCAGCTGCCCCAGCCAGCCCCTGACCCGGGTGGGACAGGCCCATTGGTGCTCCCACAGAGGCAGGTTCCTCCACAGCCTCCGAAAGGCGTTCTGGGGATAGAGGAGGAACCCAGCGTACCTCCCTTTTCGTGCAGAGGCAAAGACAACTGAGAAACTTCTCGCTCAGGGGACAAGCAACCATCAACGATGCAAGGGGGAAGGGGTGCCGCAAAGAAGGGCAGCCCTGACATCCCCCGGCAGCGGGAGGACCCTTCCCGCAGCAGTCAGAGAGCAGGATCGCTCCAGCCATGCCTCCTTGCCAAGAGCACTCCCAAAGGGGACACCACCGCCCGCACACCAGGCCCGCTCACCCCGCTGCCTAACAGCACGGGCTCGGACCCTCCTGCCATTGCCCAGGTGAAGCCCGAGGGCAGGCACTGCTCCAGGCGCTGCCCACCCCCTCGGGGGGGGGCAGGCGAATCACAGGCAGCATGCACACCCCCGCAAGCCGAGAGCCCCCAGCTGGGCACAGCAGCACTGCAGCCAGCGGCTCCCAAGAACCTTGATCTTCCCTGGCACTCTCAGCAGAAGACAGCAGGAAAGCACCGGGTGGCCTGACAGGGACCAGTGAGCATCTGGCTGGGAGCCTGAACACGGTGTCAGCTTAGCTCACAAACAGGAGTGTCTGTAGCTGAAAGCCAGCCGTCGCATTCAGGCCCCCAGGAAACTGGAGCACGGACAGGTTTCACGTCTGAACCACCTTCCGGCGTCGGTAACTTCCCGGCACGCAGGGAGCACCTCGCTCTGCCCCTCACTGAAGCACCAACAGCCACGTGCTTCTTAAGGGCAGCTCCAGCGCAGGACAACGTGTCCTGCCAGAGCACAAAGTCCGAAGGCTCAGGGCAGAGCAAACTTGCTAAGAGCGGCAGGGGGCGCACGCCCACCCCAGGCCGGGGCGGCGGGGGATTGCAAAAAAAAGGGTACCGAGATGCAAGCGGTGGAAAGGAACTGCCATTCTCCTGTGACAGAGAGAGAGCCCGAGATGCTTCAGAGCTGTTGGCGGGCAGGAAGGACTGTTCAGGCCCTGCAGAGTCCTGACGAGCGGCACGAAATGCTCCTATTGACTCTGGCAATCTGGACCCAATACCGAAGCGTCTTGTAAGTTGGAAGATGTGACCCATACCCTTATCACACTGTCCATCTTCAGCCTGATCATGAATAAAATCATTCAGCTACTCTAGCCCAGGACTATTTTTCAGTTTCCGCCTCTCCACAGTAACAGAAAATCACTCTGGAAACCACTTCTCCCTGAGATGCCAAGCCTGAATTTGCTGTGACTATACTCAGTGAGATGCTCATTTGCTGCCACAACATAATCTTCCAGGAGGGCCCTCAGAGACAGAAGGCTGAAGCAGAGAAGAGCCTCCAGTGTTGAACAACAGGGAAATGACGTTGGCCGGCAGCAGCCTGGCAAGCTGAGATCAATAGGCTGTCTCCAAGGAAGCTGCACTGGGAAAGGCAGGATGTAAAAAGGGAGGCTGGAGGGAAATCCTGGTTCACAGCTCTCTGACGTATCCACAGACACCAGGTCTGGTGTGCCAAGGCACTCTGAAAGGCGGTTCTGGTGGGAGCACCAGCACTCCACGAGGGCCGCCACTGCGGAAAGGGGCTGACAGCACCGCAGCAGACGGAATGAAGACGAGATCAGATTTGCCAAGACACAGTAACTTCACGCACTGAGGGGCGGGAAGCTTGGCAAAAGACATGCATTCAATCCCCCGCCAGTTTGGACCTCTCCAGGGAGCTCAGGAGAACGTCAGCAGGCAGGGAGCCCCTCCTCTGGAGCAGAGGGAAGCCCAGAAGGTCACGCATGAGGACCATTAACAGTTCCACACCGTGCTGAACTCACGCAGAAGCAAATGAGCGCTGCCGAGTATCACCTACAAGCACCAGAAATACGAGCTGCCTTGCTGTTGCTGAATACAGGAACCAGAAGAGTTCCTCAGCTTAGAGATCTTAGTAACAGCACTGCTTCAGCTTTCCTTGCTTTCTTGGGCTGCAGCAGGATTTGAGGGGGTGGCTGACAGGCCAAGTCAACGCCCCTCATAAATGTGGTATTTTTCATTTACCATCTGGAAGAAGCGAAGTCCACCCTCCTGCAGCCCTGCCGCTCGCACCAGCTGGCTCCAGAAGCACAGCGCCGCTACAGTAACTCAAGATCAGCGGCGCTGCTGGACTCCAACCACAGCCTGCATTGGTTTGATCCCCTCCTTCCCCCGGGCAGCTGAACAAACTCCTAAGTCTAAGCAGATTAACGTTATTAGGCTTGTGGCATAAAGGCAGAGGCATAACAGGCTGTTCCCAGCAAGGCAAAAGGACGCAGACTTCAAGGAGGAAGACGGGAATGAGAGAGGATTCAGTGCCTGCCCACGGTGCTGTCCCTTCCGGACAAGGGCCGGTCAAACCTGGCCCTTGGCACTGCTAATGGATCAGCCCAGGCTCATGTTTGTCCGAGAGCAGCACAGACCAGCGTCATGCTGTTGGTTCTCCCGAGGGAACAGGAGGAGCCACAGGTAAAAGGTGCACGCCAGAGCCTGTGAACAGGAAGGCTAGAGATGGGGCAGGCTGCCGCACAAAGACTTGCATTCTTCTCTCCCTGAATAACCCCGGTAAAGGAAAACTGCTCCTTTGCATACAAACAACATTCAGCCTCTGGAGGTGCTGTTCCCCCAAGATCTCCCTTCGACCTTCATCTACCATTGAGTGCACAGACAGCAGATGAGCCAGACAAATCGGCTCAGGCCATGAAGAAGCCACTGCCAGAGCACTGGAGCAAGAAGATGCTGGAGGGACATAGTCATATCTACTCCAAAGTTCCCTTAGCTGGACCCGAACTCAGAACTACTAGAAGTCCACAGCCTAGGGGTGAGGTACGTGGGCTTCAGACACCGGGCACAGCTCTCTGTCCAGTGCACATAAGGTGCCACATAACCTGGCGAGGCACATCACCTGGCTTTTTACTGCTGTGAACGGGCTTTGGAGCCTGCGCTTTGACAGGGAGGAGTCACATGAGGAGCCTGGAGAAGGAACACCTTGCTTCCCACAAGGAGGTGCACAGCCTGCATCTGGTCATGAGGGTATGTTCTTCAAACCAACACATGGGCGCTGGTAGCCAGCCACAGTGTGAGCGGGCGCAGGAGAAGAGCCCTGCTGAGCTCAGCATCCCCTTTCTGTTCTACAACCCGGTGACAGAAATGCACGCAGAGGGTGCAAGCTTCTGCAACCACAGTAACAAGGAATATCTTAGTGGTCCCACAGGATTCGGCTCTTGACCCAACACTAACGCTACTGTCACCTGGAAAAAAGGAGCACCAGTGAGGAATGAAAAGATGAAGTGAGCGGCAAAGTCACGGAAGCAGCAGCCTGGGTCCCTTCTGTAAACTGGCTCTAAACCCAAGTGCCTCAGGAGAGGGGCAGCAAGGGCACCTCACCCTGTGCCACCAGCTACTGGGCCTGGGCTCCAGCTAGGAAAGAGCTAACCGGTTTCCTTTCATCGTAAGAAAAGCCTGCCTGTGGCTCAAAAGTCACCCCAGGGCAGATGTGCCAAGGTCTTGTCGCCAAAAAAGTGTCTGTAGGCTGGAGCCAGCTCTGTTCACCAGTTCTGCTCCAAGAAAACACCTCTGTCCGAACCCCTAAAGGCAGAGGAGGGAAAACCTCACACCAGGTTTTGGAGTGTGATCCTACAAATCTGTGACCCTACACTTCTGTGAGGGACACAGAAGAAATCCTGAAGGAGGCAGGGACCTACCTGATGATGGTGTGCATGCCTCGCACCTGCGGCGTGTTCTCCAGGACGCTCAGCGTCTTCGGCAGGGGCTGCCCTTGGTGGGCAGAGGCCAGAGCTGCCCTGCAACAAGGAAGCAGTGATCAGAGCTGCACAGCACATGCACACAGAGCCACCGTGCTGGACCCCCTCAGAGTAGGACGTGGCTCCTGATCGAAGGAAGGCTCCTCCAGGAGAACCCATTGCACAGGCTGGGCCCCAGAAAGCGCTTGGCCTTCCCGCCCTGATCCCTAGGAAAGCCCCACGTCTGGTACCAGGTATGAGATCCCAAAGCAGTACCACCCTGTAAAACCGCGGCAAACCTCCCCTGACCACAAATCCAGCTGTCAGCAGCCTCCACACACACGAGCCTCTGCCAGCACCTGGGGAGCAGGAGCAGCAGCTCTGCATGGGCAAGACCTTGCTACATATCCTGGGACAGGGCTGCCTGGGTTGCACCGAGGTACGAGGACTGTCCCACTGAGGCTGCCTACACGGTGTCCCAGAGAACAGGGAGGACTGTCCAGGGCACTTCTCCCATAGAAGGGAGCAGCCCAGGGCACTCCAACATTCAGGGCAGGAACCATGCTCCAGAAAGGGACAGAAGCAGCACAGGGAGCCAGTCACACAAGTCAAGCATAGCTGCTGTGGGACAGGTTACACAGGAGTCTGCAGCCACAGCGAGACAACCCCCAAGAAGCTGCATGCAGGGCAGCCACCTCGGCAGTCGAGGAAGAGCAGCTACGCTCAGACATCTCAGCAAAGCTTTGGTCAGCAGGGACAGAGAAGAGGCAGGACTCGGAGAAGAGCGGGTGCTGGCAGCCCACCCCCAGCCCAGGAACCAGCCCCCCTGCAGCTGGCAGGGTCCCCACGTACCTGACGGTGATCTCACGCTGGGTGGTAGAGCAGAGTCATCCAGCATGGCAAAAGGGGAAAGAAAGGACAGGCAGTCACTGCACCGGCCACGCACAGCCACTGGGCAGCCTCAGTCCAGCTCCCACCTCTTCTCCTGGGGCTAAACCGAGAGCAGGAAAACCACCGCCGGGCACAGCTGGGAGGCAAGGGTGGGCTGACGGGGCACAGCCAGGGGCAAGCAAGGTGGGGACAGCTGAGATCAGAAGAGCTGACTGGGACCGAGGGGGACAGCAGGCGAATGAGGCCAGGCCAGACCGCAAGTGCCAGGCGTCACTGCCAGGGCGGGCGCTGTGCCCAGACCCATTTCCCCAGTCCCCGTGTCGCAGCTCTGTCTGCCCCGAGAGCTGCGCTGAGACTTTTTGTAAAGAGAGAGGCGACACCAAGAGCCTCTGGGTGCTCCAGGAGCACAGGGCTGTG